CCTCAGTACTGGCTAGCTTATGGCCACAGTTGTTTCATACAGGTTCTCTTCGTGTCTCCTCGGGCATTAGTAACCTCGTGGTTGCTCGCTAGTACGGGACCATCAGAACCAGTTCGCTCACGACGGATGAGATTACCCCTGTCTTCTGTAATATGCACGCTTCAGTTTACGATTACGTTCGCTCTACACTGTAGTGAATATTATTGAACGATTATTTCCCACCATAACCAAACGGAGAGATGGCATTGCAGCCGTTTCTACGTAGCAGACCACGATCGGGAGCTGCCGCCAGATTTCGATCCAACTACATCAGCAAGCTCACGTGACAGTAAAATCGGTTCTCAACGCCAACCATCACAGTGATCCCGGTGTCATTTTGAAGTCGTCGGCCCCTTCCCAAGCGGAAGAATTACAGCGAAAGAACAACCTGTACGTCCATTTCCACTCGACAACACATACTCTGGTATCCAAGCACTGATCACACTGCGCCACTCAGAGACGCGGCCGCGCCCGCACGCCATGATGCATGAAGGTCCGAGCCTGACTCTTGGTTATTAAGAGGAAACACCGCGTATTTTGCTCTTTCCGTATGATATACATGGAATAAAATGTGGTGTTTTGATTCTGACTACCCACGCATGACAGGTACTGGCATTAGAGGCGATGTCAGAGGATATACCAACGAACCAACTCGTGCAGAGTGTAGCCCCTTTCCGCCAAACGCCCCAATTACCTGTGGAACTCATCTCGATGTTTATCGAAGAAGTCCACAGCAAGCGTACCTTATCAAGCCTCAGCAGTACCTGCCATGCGTTTCAAGCCTTGGTGGAACCCATTTTATACCGCAGCATATATGTTACCTCGAGAGTCCGCGCCGATTCCACAGTCTCTACACTGATTTATCAAAAATCCCGCGCCGTGCACGTATAGCCCGCACCCTGTATGTCTCTTCAGGGGTCTCGGAGGAGGAATACATCGCGATAGGCTCTCTCCTACTGGAGGAACTTGTTCCGCAGCTGACGGAGGTGATTCACCTCAAAGTTGATGTGCCCCTACCACCACAAGTCTACGGGTGGGTACTCGGAGCCCTCAACAAATGCACCTTCCAGTTATCATCCCTCGAGATCAGTCTCACGCCAAACGAAGAGCTCAAACACTTACTGGAGAAGCAGCAACGGCTCGAGTCGTTAGTTATCAGGCAGGGCAATAGTATCCCTGTGCCACTGGGCCCTGGGTGGCACCTCTCCGTCGACGCTTGATCCAAGCTCACGCGGTTGCGCGCCAGCGAAAGGTTTTACACCAGCGTACTGTGTGCTCGCCCAAGGATGATCACCCACCTCGTAGTACTTATCCCCCCAGGGTGAAATAAGATTGCGGAGCTTGGGGATCGGTCGGGGATGAAATATCTTAATGAGATGTGGCTAAGCGGTGGCGGGCGGGTTCAGGCCGTTCAGGTCTTGTGTTTGCGTTCTCAGAATAGTAAGTCCTCTTACCTCCACCACGCAGGTGGAGAGGAGCCTGAAGAAAACCATGTCTGCTTCACCCACAGAGAACGACCTCAGGTCCGCCCTTCATGTCCTCCGCAAAGCCTTCCCCAGCCTCGGCGCCGCCAAGCTACACGCACAGCTGCTCACTCAGCATCCGGACTGGACCGTTAGCGAGAAGCGCACGCGTAAGATCCTCCAGCAGGAAGGCCTCGTCCTCTCGTCCGTATCCGCACAAACTCACGGCCCCGCGCAGCCGGGGCTAAACAGTGCGGATGATAACATTCCGAGGTCGCAGCTGGTGGAAGGGCTGGACATCCGGAAGTGGACGACGAAGGTGGAGGTGAGGCTGTTTGGGAGGAAGAAGGGCAAAGGGCTGGTAGCGAGCGAAAACATCGCTGAGGGAGAGGTCGTATGGAAGGAGGAGCCGTTCTCCCTCGCACCTGAATGGTAGGCGTCCCGCTCTTGGTCTTGTGATTTCTAGCCTACTGACATCGCTCGTAGGGACATATATGATCTGCAAGTCAAAGGGCTAGCTTGCGCCTTCTGCAGCACGCCGCTCAATACCACCTCATCCCTCGTTCTCTCATGCGCCTCCTCGTCCTCCCTAGCAGCCTGCACCGCGCGCTTCTGCAACCGACTCTGCCTGTCGCGATCCGCGCGGGCACACCCTCTGCTATGCCCGGACAGCAATCCCGCTTCCGTCGGCCTCATCAAATTCGCTCGGCACGGTGAATGGATGGCACTGCACGCGCTCGCTCAGTGCACGTCGCGCATTCTGCTCGCGTACCAGCGGGATGAGACACAGGGGGCGGAGGACTGGCGGTTCCTCCGCGCGATGGCACAGCTTGGTATGGAGCAGCGCGCGAAGGGCGGCTGGTAAGCATGCGATAGCAAATGCCCCCGGGACTACTAACTTGCCTGTTTCCAAGGCTGAACGGAGCAGAGCCGGACAGGGCGGCATGGAAGAAAACCTTCGAGCTCTACCTACACGCATTCCGCGAGCCCACAACGGACCGCGACAAAAAGCGGCTAGCTCGCATCCTCAAGAAGCCAATCAATCCAGAGGTCGCCGACGCGCTCTTCACATACGACGCGTTCCTGCTCGGCCTCGGGCGTATGAGCCTCAGTGCGTCCCGCTCGCGCTTTCTCCTTAGCCCTACTCACGACTGCAGCGCAGACCAAGAAGCGCATGGCGGCCTGTACGTCTTGCACTCACACCTGAACCACTCCTGCGAGCCGAACCTCTCCGTGCGGCACCTCGACCAGCGGTCCGCGCTCGCGCGCATCACCGTGCTCGCCCGGCGCGCGGTCCCGCGTGGCGAGGAGCTCACCATCACGTACGTCGACCCGGGCTTGCCTGTCGCGCAGCGCCGGCGGCGCCTGCTCGAGTGGGGCTTCGGCCCGTGCGAGTGCGCGCGGTGCGTCAGGGAGGCGGAGGCGGGTGCGGAGAACGGGGCGGGCGACGGGGATGCACCAGGGGTGGATGGGGGCATGGCTGGCCTGGAGGCGGAGCTGAAGGCCGGGCTTGGGGTCGTGTAGGGACACGGGTGAGTGCCGCACCCGGAGGTCGGGCGGAAAAGGCAAAGGCAGCCGCTTCGCGAGTGAAGTGAAGTTTTTCTTGTGCGTGTAGCTACGGTTGCGCATATTTTCGTCGGTCGTAGGATGCTGCCGACTGTCCACACATGCTTCTACCATTCAACCTCCCCTCCAGAGCTCGATAGCCCTGACGACCCGAGGCACTGGGCACAGTTGATACCTGCCCTGAGCCGTCAGGTAGTCTTCAAGACATACTCAGACGCTCCGCGGACTATGCATGGTACAGCAGACCACCTCCGTGCTTCCTTATGCCGCGAAGCCTCAGAAGAGGCTCAAGCTTTTGACGGGGCGTGCTTCTAGCCGTCCGCGCCAAACAGAAGTCTCGTTGCCTGAGCTGTCCACCCTTCCGAGCTTGAGAACCCGAAGCGTCTGCCATGACCGTGACAAGGAAAAGTTTCATACACACACGTCTGGCTTCGAGGCACATGCAAAACAAGTTCAACAGAACCCGGGCAATACAAGTCAGCCCGCGGGGGCGCTGCCTGCCAGTGTACTCTACATGACAGTCGGTCGGCGAGAAGTGGCTCGCGCTACTAGTACTGAGTACGCTGCGCTGCGGCTACCGCTTCACTGGCGGCAGGGCGGCCACTCGCGCGACGTCCCTGCATGTGAGGCTGTACCGCGGCCCGCGCGCGAGCCTTCCTCCATTCTTCACGACGTCCCGCATGACCTCGCCCGCGAGCAAGTCCGCATTCGCAATCCGCACCGCGCCGCCAGCCCTGTCTTCCGTACTAGGAACAGGTGCAGGGAAGAAGTCCGTGTGCACTCCGTCGATCCCGTGCAGGTGCGTTTGGTAGAGCGCCGAGCGTGTGATGACCAGGCTCCTCGGCTCGAGGAGCACGGAGAAGATGGGGGCGGGGTCGATCGCACGGCCGCGGGTGGACGTGTCCGAGGGGGCGGTGGTCGTTGCCGAGTCCGAGTCGGGCGACGGCTCGTAGCGGTAGTAGTGGAACACGGCATGAGAGCCCAGTGAGAGCGTCGCGACGACAGGATGGTATGCGGGGCCGTCCTCGTGAGGCTGCGCTGGTGTGAGCAGGTGTGTGGTTGTGTAGCCTGAGGGAGTTGAGTGTGACGGACCATGATGCCTTGGCCAGGGAGGTACTGTGGGTCGTCAGTACAAATCGCATCAGGGAGCAGAACGGGCGGCTCACTTCGTTCATGATAATATGGTTCGGCTGCCCGTGCGGCGAGGAGTCGAACGCGCCCGTGGCCCTGATGCTACCGATAACGTCGGGGCTTACAATCGTGCATGCTCGCATTAGCGTCCTGGGGGTGGCTAGGCAGTCATATGATGAATGCCTGCTTACTGTTTCCTCACGAACAATGGTATCTCCTCGGGTATGAGCACACCCTTGGCGGACATGGTACCCCCTAGGCAGACGTGAATGCCCCGACAGACGACGAGCAGACGCATATCTGACCCCATATTTGCAGCCTTAAGTGCGCAAGTGACCTCAGTCAGTCTGATACCTGCTCGTCATTGTGTCGATGTCTGGTATTACACTCGCCTTCGGTTAGTTAGCTGTTTCCATTTCGGCAGCGGAGACTCTTGGATCTATCGAGGAGTATTAACGCTTATGTAGCCAAGTGCCGTCGTCCTGATCATACGTGCCTTACGAATCAGTAGCTCCTCTTCTTCTGGAGTGATAGCGTCGGGAATATAGAACGCTTCGTCCGTCCCTGGAATGAGGTACTGTGCTAGTCTTGCTGCCTCTGAAGCCATTTTATCAGGGCAGAGACGATGAGCTGTTAAGGGAAGTATCTGGTTTTTAATAAATCGAGCTACACAGACTTGACTCACAGCGTGTGCACAACAAGTTCCATTTCATTGAACGTCCGATCGACTCGGATGGATGCGCACACGCTGACCAAAGGAATGAACTGATATCAAGTTGCTTGCAAAAATACTACGTGGATGCGCTCGTCGTCTAATGGCTATGATGTCAGATTCCTAGCTTGCTTAAGCATCTGAAGGTTCCGGGTTCGAGTCCCGGCGGGCGTACGTTTTGATCGCTTTCCTTCTTTTCCGGGCTCTCACAGAATACCTGAGGTCATCAGTTCAAGAACGTGTGTGCCTGGGGTTTTCTGGATTTTTTGAACTTCTCAACATATTCCCTGGTGGACCCCTGGAACCAAGGAGGTGAGGCGTTAGGTCTGTGCGTCTAGGGCATTGAGCGCCCGAGCCGTCACTTGGGCTTGAACGCGACCTCGTGCTTGGCTCACTGTCCATCGCAAGCACGTCGACGAGCGCGTCGCACCCGATTCTCAAGATGTCGGCCAAGAACATCAGCAACAGTACGCTGAGCCTACGGTTCATGCAAAATGCGCAGCGGGCGAAGCTGCAGGCACAAGTGGAAGCCGAACAATCTAAGATCAAGGACGACGCGGAGTGGTCGGTATCGCAGGAGGTCCGAGAGGCGTGGGGCATCGGATCGAGCTCTGCTTCGACCTCTGAAGTTCAATCCAAGTGCGTTAACACGTCCCAATGAACGGACTTGTGCTGAGCAAGGCCTGCCGATCTATAGGGCACAATTTGTCACACACGAGGCGTCATATATGCCTTTCATATTTGGAGAAGATGAGGACGAAGTCAGGGAGGAAGGCGAAGAGGAGGGTACAGCCGCGGGCCCGTTGAGACCCGTGAGGGGACGGAGGACATTCAATGATCGCGGAGAAGAGGTCCTGGGGAACGAGGTCCGTGCATACACCCACTCTCGCAAAGCTGAGACATCTCCCGCTGCCTGCCATGCCTCTGACCGCGCCCGCAGGAGCCCGACAATGAACGGCACGAGCTGATAGAGGAGGCCAAGGCCTTCTCGAATGCGCTCAAAAACAAGGGTCGCCCGACATCCATCTCTGGGTTCAAAGCACCTTTGCCTACCAAGTCGAAGGACGGCAAGACATTTCGGGCGAAGACGGCCCAACAGCTTATACGCGAGTCACCAGCTACAGCACCTGCCTCGCTCTCATCGGCCCCACCGTTTGCGGCTACCGCTGTGAAGACAGGGACAACGGGATTCATGAAGCCTGCTGGCGTTGATGCACCGCAGCTTCCCAGCAATCGAAAGTCTAGCGCAAAGAAGCGTCACCGCGACCGCGACGCCGCGTCAGATGCTACGGACAGCACAGGGAAGAAGCGGAAAAAGAAGGCGACCGAAGCGGGCCTCGCTACGGTCGAGTGACCGAGTGTATGATTACATCTTCCTGGTCGCTTCGTGGACGTGGGTTCGTCTCTTACCGCGCACACAAGGCGTTATATGCCTCAATACAGTGGAGCTACGTACTCGCACAGCTGATCCGACGGGGACTCGCAAGTCAGGCGGAGTGCGCATGTACAGGACTGTACGTCATCCGCCTTCTCAACCACCATGATGCTGAATGCATCTGAATTGCTGATCTATTCTCGTAAAATAGGTTGTCTTCTGGCTTCTCGGACCGGACGGTCCTTATATTATAGCCAATTCCTGATGGGACGTACCGACGGTCTCCTTCTGAATGCACTTCGCCGTCATGTCGTGCAATTCAATGGTCACTCCGCGGCATATCGTCGCATCGGTGTCGTGTGTGCATTCCATTCTGAGCATGCCCTCCCAGAAAGTTCAGTGTTCCCCACCAGCCGCCACATCGATGGACAATGCACCGCAGTTCGTGCCTTCATATTGAGAGCGGCCGATGTTGACCACCGGTCTCGACTGCCGATGAAGGTGCACCACGTCATAGGTGACCATCTCACCGTTTTTGGTGGGGCTCGTCTGGTGGGCACCGATGACATTGTCGTGCATAGGCTTCCGTCAGGGTCACCGCTGTAGATTTCCAGCTTTGTCAGCGCCTGCCTTCTCGCACATGTCTTCTCATGATGCCCCTAGATAACAAGGGCCCTTGCCAACGTGTCTTACGGGCAGTTTTCAGGCGTCAGAATGTAGTCGAGCAGTGGCACCAACGGGAAGCAATCAGGTCGGTCAGACCAGTCAGATGTACTGAGATATTTGACCCGGTTGTGACATCCCAACAATACAGTAATAGATACCTCTTCGGCAGATTTGTTCCCAGCAGGATTCCACTGCGGCAGATATCTCGGGACTCGGTCTATGTACCAGCTACATGGAGACAGTCAGAGATAGTCAACAATCAAGACATCCGAGTTCAGTGGCATTGACACCGGCACTATCAAAATGTCCAAACGACTGGAACTGTCAAACAAACGCATGGAGAAGACTTGTTCGCTCTTCCCTGCACGGAAGCATCTGCTTGTACGTTGTTCGCCCTGACGCTGCTCCACTTTCATGATCGTGATCTCCCGCTGACGGCAGATGGGATGGGAATGGGAAGCCGCGCACTTCTCGGGTATGCCTCGGAGCGGCGTGTGTCCAATGTCCAGTCGCCAATGCCAGGGAGCGCTGTCGTGAGGCGTTTGCGGGGCGATGTGCATGTCGTGGGCTCGGCCACGGCCGCGACGAAGATAGCACAGAAGGCGCGCGTAGGTTAGGTGTCTGAGAACGGACGCGGGAGCTGGTCGGCGGTGGGGCTACCAGTTTGCGGATGCGCCTGATTTAGCTACGCTAGCGCGATGGCTGAACGCAAAGCAACGCCACAACACATGGACGGTGTATCTGCCGGCGAACGAACGAGGTGCCGTATAACAGTTCCTGCATATTGGTGTATAGGGTCAGCCTGATCTTCCATGGTCCGGTCCGAAATCGTCTTATCTTCTGCATATGGCGGTCACCCCGGCATTTGTTACGCCTCCAGGACGACGTTGTGGGGTTTCACTCATCGTCAAGGCGACCGACGTGTATTACATCCCAATGGCAAAATCATTCGCAAACCCGCACGTTCACGCCGCTCGCGTCAGATCTGGTCAATGCGAACCATGCTCAGCCCAACCGCACAAATCCCATCGACGTTCGCCCGTGCATCTGCCATCCCAGACAGATGAGACGATTCAGGCGCGTACTCACAATACGCCGGTCTTTGACAGAACCTGACAGACTGCGCTCGGCACCAGAGACCGGTGACGTCGCCACCACAATCCGTCAAACGCGTATCTCTTCTGGAGTGTTGAGAAGCTCGTTTTGGTGTCTGCGCTGCGGTCCGTCCGATCTCTACCGGAGTTCGCGTGCATTGGCCGGGCGGCAGGTAGTTCAAATCCTGAGAGCCGCTGCCAGTATATTGCTCCGTACTGAGCGTACTCGCATTAGCCTTCTGTCAGGTTCGCTCTCGTCTTCAGGGCTGGCACCCACCGGCTTGCAAGTGGGTACCTCTTATTAGCTTCAATGGGCGCTTGGGGCGAACCACTCAATGTTCTACGCAGGCCGAATGTAGAAGATGAGTGGAGTGGCGCCGCCATTGAATTGCTTCTGCGGGCGCTGCACCGTGACTTAAGATACAGTCACCGGTAAGCGCTCATGTGTGTGTTACTTGGACGTTCGACAGTCGACGTGACTCCATCTGGTGGCCACTACATACAGCAGCGGACTCGTCAGCAGACGTGCGGAACAGATTCTGGACTGCAATGGTGAGTGTACCTGAATCTAAACCAACGTGTCACCTCATCATGGCACATGAACGAAATGAAACTCACCTCGCGAGGGTGAGTCATAGCAAGCTCAGCTCGCGCGTCATTTGACCATAGAGTACCGAGGTGGCCACCCGTTCCCTCTGAACACTCGCGTGAATCACTGGTACGTATTCACACGATGTGCGTATCGTGCCGCCCGTCTCGCTGACTTACCGGTATAGCGAGACGCCCCACACAAGTTGACGCCAAAGTGAGCCAGCCGCCGGGAGGCTAGCAACCGGCGTATGGCGGTTCCAAGATAGCGAGCGGCGACGTATGACAAGCCGCGAAAGGTATGTAGATAGCGGAGGACGCGCGCACATCCGACTAGGGTGGTGGCGCTGCTGCACTAAGTCATATTTGACAATGACAGGGGAGATGAGCGCAGCGCGACTCAATGTCAACTTCAGCAGAGGACCCTGCGGCGTCACGAGATGCCCGCGTCCGAGGGATCTAGAGGTTTGATTCCCTGCTCTGGCAGCGCGAACACAAATGCAAATGCGATTCAGACCATAGGAAGGGAAGGTTGCAATGCACTGAGGCGCTCGTTCTCTGACCTGGACGGTGGTCCGTGGATGATTCGGACGCCGGCGGGCGCACCAGAAGAGACTATGCCTAGTGCAGAAAAAGTCCGTGCTCACCAGCTTCGCGCTAGCAGCTTCGATCTTTCGAGGTGGAGCGGGAGTCGCTCGCGGGAACGCGGGGACCTCGCTCGGATAGCCTACAGCACCAACCACACGCAGCCCTAAACCGAGATTAATGAAAGAGATACTACATATGCCTGTCGCGCGCGTGCGGGCACTCACTGCCCGGGGATGGCCCGACGTCATCCGAGGGGCCTAGCAGCGGCGCGGGAGGGCCTCTGTCAAAATATGCCGTCAGTACGTACGTGTGATATCGCGACGCAGTTCCCTTGAACGTTCGCGCTAAGCGTCCCCACCGCACCCGTCGCAGTAGCGTTCCCCTGCATACCTCTCGCTGACTCACTCGGGCTGACCGACAGGGCACCACGATCGCGGGGCCGCGCACGGTCCGAACCAGCGCGCGCGACGGGATGGAATGGAGGACACCGAATGCCATTACAGTAGCCCCAGTAGCAGCGGGCCCTTGTGTGCATCCCAGATCCCGCCGATCTCGATTTGTGTCCGCGCCCCTGCCGCCACCGTCGGTCGAACAGCAGCGGAGGCAAATTAGGCGCGCGTACTAACCTCTGGATGCGGCGGCGGGGCGCTGGGATATGCGGGAGCGCCCGTGCTAAGGAGAGCCCCTGAGGTGACGGTAGACAATAGTACGCGAACTGAGGTGGCGACGATAGCCCCTATCGCTCTGTACGTATGGTCGTGTAGGGTTGAGTCGCTGTCATTAACGAAATTGTTGGGCTTTACGGAATCGTATCGCAGGTCGGGGTCTTGGTGGGCGAGCGGGCTACTACTTGCAGTACTAGT